TTGAAATGGAGCCTTAGATGCCACCTTTGAAATACATCCCTAAAACACTGTTCTCCATTAGTGGGATTCTGTAACAAGTGCACTTGAAGTGTCGCATTTAACCAAATCTCGGGACTTCCAGAGAAGCTACATCTGCAATTTCTAGAAGTTCAATCCTTAAATTACTCCACCTGCAAAGGTATTTGGACACCATAAATGTTAACACCTGCAGGCCAAACAAGCCCTAGCTTTAGCCAGTAGTGGGAAACCCGGAAATGGCAGAACTGGAAATCTCAAAACACAAACGGAGTTCTAATACACACCAAGTGACAAAAATCTATTTGCAGGGTAAAATAAAAATAAGTCACAGATGGCACTGGGTGACTTGGTGATGGGAAGTCTATGGGGATTACAACCGAGATGGAAAAATGCACAAAATGGTGTAAAAATAAACTATTATATTATTTAAAATTAAGTCACAAATTGCAACTTTTTAAAATAACAGTTGATAGTTTGAAAAACTCAAAGGTGATGACTGAACCATGCTTTTCAAGTATGAATCTTCTGCATTGTGGTAAGAGCCACTGTTTACTTTGAAAAGAGGCATTTTCCCATCCTGGGTTAGGCTGTGGTTCTCAACCCTGGCTTCCCACTAGAACCGTGAAGAGAGCTGACTGACAGCCCCCTGCACAGAGAGTGCCTCTGGTCTCCTGATCCCGAGTTTATGGGGTGTGACCCAGGCCAAGCATCTTCAGGGCTTTCCTATAATCTCAGGGAGCAGATGAGTTGAAGACCTGGCACAATCAAGACTGACCTAGATACCATTTTGGACTCACGTGGGTCTTCCCTGGCCAGGGTATTTCCCCTCAGCCGCCAGTCACCCTGTTCTCGTCTTTTCACGTTAGGTTGGGGAGGACATTGGATGTGAGGCAGGGTAGGGTCCTGGTTCTAAATGATAGGGCCTGTGCTTAACACAGAGCTTCAGCAGAAAGAGACCTTTGTTCCCATTCATCTCCCAGAGATGTCCTGTCCCTCCCTCTCCTTGTTAGTTAGAGGTTGGATTTCTCTTACTGTTAATCCTTTGCTCACTTAGGTGAGCAAGGAAGGAAGAGAGCTCAGATGCTAATATGGATATAGGCATCATGAAAACATTCCAGAGATGGCAGGACTTGGAGTGGACTAGAGTTTCCCATCTGCACCCTCAGTGTTGCATTCCTGTTGAGGGGTTCAGTAGGCTGGATCCCATGGTGGCACCTCATTGTTGGATCCTTATGTCCTCAGGTGACTTTTCAACAGTGAAGTATGCCCTGGTTCTCGGCCAAAACGGTATTGTGCGTTGGAGGCAACTGTGGGTATTTATGGAGTGTTTTTAGTTGTCTAAAAATGATGGAGGCAAACGGACATTTAATAGACACAGGTCCAGGATGTTAGGTGTCCTGCAATGAGCTCCCTGGAACAACTGCTTTTTCCAGCAGAACCTAGACATGTCCCACTGCACGTTTATGGAAGCAAAAAACCTCCTGATCAGAGTCCTGAGGCCAATTCTGTTTCACTTTAAACAAATAGTGAAAGCAAATTAGACTCCGCTTTATTTGAGGCTTCAGACTCATTCTCTATTTAGGAAAAGTCACATGAGCAGTCAGTGTTCTTGGGGAGTCGGCTTACCTATGCAGGTGGTTTGGTTTTGTCCTGAAACTAGGTAAGTAGGTAGGATGTATCATTAAGAATTTTATCTTAAAAATTTTTTTTTTCCTCATTTAAGCTTTTTAGATTGGGCTCTCCCTGGTGGCGCAACGGGTTGAAGCACAGCATTACAAAACTAGCTGCAGCTGCTTCAGCATGAGTTCGATCCCCGGCCTGGGAGGTGACCCACATGGCGTGGCAGGCCTCTCCTGACCCGCCTGCTGCTCCCCTCAGCAGTGTACTTCGTCCATCTGCCTGTTCTGCTCCCCACTGTCTCTGGTGGGTCCTTTCACAGCCCCTGCACCTCTACCTGTATCCCAGTTCTGTATGCCTGAATAAATAAATCCTTAAAAATTTTTTTAGATGGAGAAAATCACTGCATGCTTTCTTTCATGTAGGGAAGATAAAGAAACAAAACTAATGAACTAACGGAACAAAAACTCTTAGATTATAAAAACAAATAGTGCTTGAAAGAAGGGAAGGGGAGAGGATGGGTAAGCAGGATAAAAGAGATGGATTGTATGGTGATGAATACAAAGTGGTATCTACAGATGTTGATTTATAAGGCTTCTCACCTGAAACACTTACAAATTAATGTTACTTAAAAATTATCTTGTACAGAATATTTGTAGTTTGAGAGGTTGTAGTCGAAAAGGGAGGGTAGGGTCTGGTAGCACTGAGACCCTGTCCTGTCATTTCAAAGGTTTTCTCTGAGAGGCTGAGCAGCCGACTCTTAAGTTCCTGACCAGGAAATTTGGGGCGCAACACTCATAAACGCCTGTAGGGGGTGCTAGATACCAGCGGAAGGCTTCCCTGTGAGGTGTGGCCTAGCGGGGTCGGGGCGTGGCCAGGGCGGAGCGTAGGCGGGGCTTTACCCAGAGACGCGGGCAATTAGCGGCTTTTTCCAGGTTTCAGCCCCCTGCATTGGCTTTTAGCCGACGCGATTCCCGGAACCCACGCAGACTCTCCCGCCTTCCGCGTGACACTGGATGAAAAGATAAATCCCGAGCAGAGCACCTGTTGTTTGAAGGCGAGGCAACCACTATTTACAACCGAACATTTCGCAAACGGACTATTTTCTGAATAACGCACACAATAACAAAAATGCCCTCTAACGCCTGTTAGAGACAGCAAAGGCCCCCGCGGGAGCAGAACGGCCAAGCACCCACACCTCAGCCTCGCCCCTGGCAGGCGTCCTGCGGCTTCGTATCTTATGCAGCCTGTTTTTCCTTCACCCTCGGGGAGGGACATTGACAGTAACTTTTTATGAGGTTTGGTGAGAATTAAAAGGCAAAGCATCTTAGCATCACACCTGTTTCATAATAGGCAACAGATGGTAGTTCTTGCTGATGTGTTCACCAATGAAAGGATTAAGGAATCCCCCGTAAACGCGAGGTATTTACACCAGACCTTTTGTGTAACTTTAAGTCTGCAGCGTAAGCTTTTTTACCAGAGCTGTTGAGCATTACTTGACATTGCTGCGTCCTGAGCAGAGTCTGGCAGGTGGGTCTGGAGTTCTCTCCAAAGCGCCCTGTGATTACTTTACTCATGGACACTCTCTTCAGGGGTGCCCGGGCCGGGCGGGGGTGTGCCTGCTTGGGCAATGTTGGTTACTTCTGCAAAACCACCTCTTGAAGATTTGGGTGACACCATCCCCATTGCTCTATCTCTAGTTACTTTCAAAAAAACCTTTGCTTTGACAGAGGCCTTGGAAGAGGAGTTCAATTACAGGGAAGAGACCTGGTTTTACCTTGGGAAGTAGCTGAGTCTGCTCCTGTTGCTCACTATGAGTTGCTTTTCCTGTTGGGCTGGCATTCAGGGCACCCATTCGAGGGAGGGCACCTGGCAGTGAGGGAGGTCTGGATGGGGTGACTGGGACCCCTCCTCCCAAGCCTTAACAAGCAAGCTCACCAAACACACTCTGCAGCTGCAATTCCAGGCCCTTAGTTGTGCTCCAAATCTGTGGAACCTGTTTTACTTTGTAGATAATTCAGTCACACAGAAGCAGCTCTCAAAGTAAAGCAGTTTTTTTTTTTTTTTTTTTAAATCCTGTAACACTGAGAGGTTCTGTATTGCATGTCTGCGGTCTCAAGGCCATCGCCTGCACAAAGTGACCTCCCTGGTCTTATCTCCTGTCTGGTGTGTGAGTTGTTTTCTCGCGTGTTGGTGCCAGTCCCTCCCCAGTGAGACTGGATGTCTCTTACCCAGTCTCAGTGGCCACGACAACAATCAGCTTTACCAACCTTTACTGTCTTCAAAGTTTTCTATACATCACGTTTAATCCTCCCAACACTCCTGCGGTAAGTTCTATTCTTAGTCTCCACTAGCCGAGGAGCAAACAGAGCTGTACCCGAGGTTGGACAGCCAGTGAGCAGCGCAGATTTAGACTTTCCTGAGTGAATCTAAGCAGCCCCTCGGCTTTATTTCTAATAATCTTTTTCAGATGCAATGATCTGTTAGTTGGATAATGAGCTTGAAAACAATGTAGTGAGGATCTGCTGATAGACTAATAAAGCCTGAAAAGCCCACTACCACAATCCATTTAGACATTAAAGGAGCCAGGGCCCTTTGTTCACTGTTGTCATAGCAACCAGGTAATGCACCTATGTTCAGTTCTTCCAAATATGGTGCCTTCCCTCCAATTTCCAGAGCAGGCAGGCAGCATTGTGCTTAACTGGGTCCTTGTGGAGATTTCCCTTACCTGGCAACAGTCCTTCATTACGTTGGCTGCAATGGACCATCACCTGTCTGTCCTGCAGAAGTTTCAGGAAGTTGGGAGTTAAACTGAAAATGTAAGCACCAAACTATTACTTAGCTGCTTACAAAGAACTGTTTGTGAACAGGTACAAATAAATGAGCTCTTTATTATGTAGGTTTCAAAGTAACATAGTTGTTGAGTCAGCTATGGGACATGGCTTGTTGGGACATTTTCTATCAGAAGTATAAGATAATGACTTTGCTAAGTCCTACCTGAAATTTGTGATTGCAATTACTGTAATGAGTGGAGACATAATACAGTATTTCTGGTCAAAGTATACCAGGTCAGTAAGCTCCCAGTTTGTGAGCATTAACAAGTAACAAGGTGCTAAAGTAGTAAGAATATTTGTACTTACATCAAGTTGCCAAGTTAAATATTTTGGAGGCCCAAATAATAAACTTCCTAAGATTGTTCTTGCAGTTAATTAACAATCTGGGTATTAACTAACTTTTCTCCCATTTTTAAAAGAAAAACAGACTATAAAGTTAGCTAGCATATATTCTTTTAGACCATATATATATATATATACATTTTTTTTTTCTAATTGAGAACTCAAAGAAGTTATAGTGGCAAATATTTTATTTCTACTTTACTTTTATTGGAAATGAACAAAAAAGATAGAGAACATAACAAGAAACCCTCTGCTAAGCGAGGGCGGAAACACTGTATTTAGGCTGCTTTTGCTTAGCCAAATCGTTCTAAGCCACAGAGAAGAGAGCAGAAGGCACCACCCTGAATGAATCGATCACAAATTCATCACCCCAGAGCATTCAGGAAACCAGTTTGTGCCTGTTACATGTTGTTTATTATAATGCCCGCAAAGCCCAAACCATTTATGTTGGTAATACATTTTGTTCTTTGACTAGGAAGTAATTATAGTGACAAAGTACAAAAAATAATAAGCATGCAGCCCTTTATTTTGTTTTGCAAAGTCTCTGCTTATATTTTTGTATATTACATGACTGTGTTATACAAATACATTTATTTACAAAAAACACTCTAGCTGTGCAAACCGGTTGCTTTTTAAAAATGTATGGATAGTCCCATGTCTGCCCATCCCAATATATATTCTTTAAAGCATGCATAAAAATTAACTTTGGTGTGGGAAAACTACTCTGTGTGCTGTCACATACAGTATTTTTATGTTTATTTATATATTTACAAAAGTTTATCAGTTTACAGAACCGTACAGAAGTGTACATTGTAAAATCCACAATGCAATAGTGTGGGTCACCAGGTTGCAGAAAATAAGGATTCGATGCTGCAAAGAACACAACCAGAGAATCCCAATATGGCAAAAAAAGAAAACAAGAGCGAGAGAAAGAGCAAAGAAAATAAACCTGCTTGGGCCGGCAAATTATTATACATAATTTTTATGGCAGTGCAATCGGCTTGATAAATTGCCTTCTACTTGCGCCTGGGCAGCTGGGTAGAAGTTTCCTTGGCTTTTCGTCTAGCACACTACTCTCAAATGTACAATGCTATAGTATCAAAAATGTCTCGGCAAAAAAGATCTTGAAAGGAACAATGAAGTTTTGACAAAAATAGAAATCTGTAATAAAGCTAAATAACACTAAAATAAAAGGAAATATTATAGAATCTGTTTTACAATTTGTATAGTCACACTTGTGTATTTCTCTGTTCACTTCTAGTCTCCGTAATGAAAAATATTTTTATACAAAACATACTAAAATTCTGGAATCATACATGTTTTACATGCTCAGTCCATTTTTTCCTGCCTCGCAAATGCTCCCCTCTCTGCCATGGTCCTTCTCTTTTGGTAACACATGCTCACTTCACTGAACAGGTATTGACTATAGTCTGAAACACTACGTAATTACAACCTCAACAACGTAAAAAAAAAAAACAACAAAACAACAAACAAGCTTTCGTGAAGTCTGTAATCCAGTATTTTGCACATACTTAGGGTTAAGCCTCGAACAATACAGCAATATGTTACATTTTCTTGTGAACACAGTTGTTGAAGACAGAAATTTTCTTTGAAAAAAATTTTACTCTAACAGGGTTTGGCCTTAAGAGGTGTCCTTTGCTGTGGTTGGGGTGGCTTTGCTGGAACTTCCGTTCTGTGCCTTGTAGCTGGCGAGGCCAGGCGTGTGGATGGTCCTGATGCTCTTGGCACCTTGATTCAGTAAAGTGGGGGAGGCGGGAGAGGGGGGGGAGGAGGGAGAGGAAGGAGGGGCTGCTCGGCCATTTTGAGTCTGCAGTGAGAATGAAAGATGGTGGCTTTTACCTGTGTGAGTGGGGCTCTGGAACTTTAAGGAGCCATTAGAGACAGAGGGGATGAGGGAGACAGAGGGAGCAGACCGTCCTGTTTGGGGGCTGAGAGGGTTAGAAGTAACTGATGGTTTAGTAGTAGGTGGATTAGGGGAGTTAAAGCTGTCACCACTAGAAGCGGGCAGAGAACTGCTTTTCCCAGAGCTGGGAGAAAGGGCTGGAATCTTAGAAGCAGGTAAGGAGGGGAAAGTAGGCTTACAATCCCCACCAGCTTTCTTAGCACTTCCATTAGCCTGCAAATAAAGATGGTGGGAGACAGTTCGTCAGAAAGCTGGTAACACGATCAATCCACAGGGTCTGGCAACATACCCTTCTGAGAATACTCAAATAAAAGAAACCAAATCAAACCAAACCATTCAAGGCCTGAGCTAAGTCGTGTTGTGCTGTACTGGACCTGGTAGAAACCCCCCAGATACAGAGCAGAGGATGTACACAATAGGAAGAAAAGAAGAGCAGAGATTGTGAGAGCAGGCACATCATCCCACTACCATTTCAGGGTGCTCGGTCGGTCATGCGTCTGGGCTACTATAGGGGAGGGTGGGATATCATGATGGAGAGTTAATGTGCTTCTAATGCAATGCACTCAGCGGAAGTGTTAGTACTGGAGACAGGTCTTGCCTGTCTCTCGGTTTCCCGAGGTGTTCTGATGAACCGCTACATTCACCAAAGAGAAGCCAAGTGGCCTGGCACCGTGAGTTAACAGTTAAAATTTGGAGTCACAAAGTAAAAGATGTTTTATTGCAAGCATGCAAAAGTGTGGTGAAAAGTTCAACACATGTTTTTAGACTTTCTTCATGCCCCCCCTCCCAGATCCAGAATGTCTATGTAAACCATATCTTACAAAGAAAACACAACATTTGGTAGAAACTAAGTCAGTGGCTTGCTTAACAGCAATAGTGTCCGTCCAAAATTGGGTTTAAGGTAAAACTACCTGACGATATTGGCGGGGGTCCTGCAGCTTGGACTGCTTGCTGGGTTTGTCCAGGTTCCCAGGTCTGTTCTTGGAACCCATGGGGACGGGCATCCTGCTGGTCTGTGGGGTCCCACCGGAGCCCTGTGGGGAGGAGAAAGGAGAAGGGGGGAGAGAAGGGAGAGGCCTGTGAGCAGACGGTCCCTGAAGCTGCCCCACTGTGTGCAGAGAAGCTCAACGTGAGAAGCCACAGCCCTACATGCAGGACAGATCTAGAAGACGGACATCAGGAGACACCACTGGGGTTAATTCGAAGAATCAAACAGAACAAACGGTTCCACTACTGATCAAACGGATTTTAATGTGAGTATCAGCAATCATTTCCACAGTAAATGACTGACCCAGCATCCCTGCGTTTACCCAACACCGATCAGCAACAGAGGTAAACACAGAATCAATTAGCTGTTAGACACCGAGTTGTTGTTCGGAAGGCGAGGAAGATAGTGTAAGAGGAAGGTATCGTGGCGAACAGACAGCAAAACCAGGAGCCACCTGAAAGGAAGCAAGTAAATCACAAGACACCTTTGGCTAATGATGACTATGGCAGATTTAGGAAAGCAGCTGGGTCTTTTCATTTTCCATCAGACAAGATACCTTACGTGAAGCTGAAGGTATTGATGAGGGGGGCTCTAGGGCAGAACTAGCTTCGTCCAGAACTAGCAAGGATCGGGGAGAGGCCTCCCAGGCTACGTGGGACGAGCTTGCAACAGAATCTTTGTTGGAGGAACATGAGGTATCTCCTAGGACCTTTGGACTCATTTCACTGATTGTGTTTTCAAGCTGCTTGATGGTCTGCTCCAGGCTGTCCAGAGTCTTGTAGGTGTTTTTCCTGATTTCATCTGTCCTTGAAGCTGCCGATGTGCTCTCTGGACTGGGCTGCTCTTGCCTCCGAAGCACACTTCTAGAGGCGTCCTCAGGTTGTGGAGACCTAGCAATTTCGAATCTCTTGGCTTCTTTGTGCTGCTTCAGGGTGCCGTCCTCCTCCTCCTCTTCGTAGACCACCACCTGCAGAGTCTTCTTGCCTGTCTTGGTTCCTGTGCGAATCGCTTGCGTCAGGGCAGCGAGCTGCTTTTTAGGGAATTTGAATTTAAACTTTTTCTTGGGGCTTTCAAACTGGTCCTCTGTCATATCACACTTGCCTTCTGAACTTGGAGACTCTGCTTTGCGGCTCTTGCCCGGCTCGGTTTTATTCATGTCCTGTCCTCCTGGGATTCTGGTCTCTGCTGAAGGGACGGGTGGCTGTAATTTTCTCTCAGCCTGCTCTCCTGATCCGCGGCTGCTTGAGGCTATCGTCTCACGGGACTTCTGGGAAGTGCTATTCTGGACCACAAGATCTCCGTTTTCCTCCTCTTCTTCTTCCTCTATCTTTTCCTCTGTCATCATTCTCTCTAATTCCTCATCACATTCCTCAAATATGGTTGAAAGTCTCTTGTACGCAGACCGAATGTCCATGGGTTCATCAAAAATGATGATCACTGGTTTCTTGTCCAGGCACACGACCGGCTCTTCATTCTCAGTACCTTCTTGCTGTGAAGTCGGGTCCTTCTTGGCATCAATGTTAACTGTCTGTACGTCTTCTCCCTTTTTGCTCACTATATCTTGGACCTCCCCACTGGAAAGGACCTGCACTGCAGTTTTGGTAATCATGAAAGCAATGTTGTCTGTGGTCGCGTATTCTTCAGTGGGAGAACTTGTTGTTGATTCTCCGTCTTCATTAGGGTTCACATTCCCTGTCCTGGCCCCCTTGGGTCTTAGCACAACTTGGCCAAACTCTGTCGCAGAAGGCTCTTGGTCATGTGTTTTGACATCATGAATACTCAATTCAGTTGATCTGGTGGGCGAGGGAAGCTGACACTTATCTGTATCTCCCTGTCCCTGTTGACTCAGCTCTCTTGTCTTTACATAATTCACCTTCTGAACTTCAGTGTCAGATCCAGCATACTGCAGTCCTGAGACTTTTGCCCCCTTGTTTGTTTCATCATGTAATGAACTAATGTCAGAGAAACTGGAATTGACCTTGGGAGCATTTTTCGGGGAATAGTTTCTGCTGTCTCTGAGTAAACTCTTATTGGCCATGGAATTTTCCTTCATTAGGATATCACTCTTATATTCTGATGACCTCGATGCATCAGAAATGCTAGTCTTCACTCCTCTTTGCCACTTAGGATGATCACTAGGTGTCAGAGCCACTGCAGCAACCTGAGAGGGAGAGCGGAGGAGGAAAAGCACACACATTAATCAGACAGGGGTCTGCAAAAGGTGCGAATCAATCTTCATGGAATCAGTAGGTACACAGATCTGGCAAGCTCACCTTTTGAGATTCCATTTCAGGGCCATTTTCATATTCAACATCTGATTTCCGTATGTCTTCGTGGAAAAATTCCAAATTCTGGTAGAATAGTGTAGGACATGTTACTCCACAAAACCACATCCTCCCCACAGCGGACTATAACTAACTCGTTCCTTTAACTACACTTCCAAAACATGCGGACCAAGCATATTTGATACACACCAGTCCAAAGCCTACAGTCTGTTTACCTTGGGTTGCTTTGTTCTCCAACTTCCAAAAATGCCCTGTGTTTGCACAAGATGAAAATCTCAATTAGCAAAATATTTCAAGTATTTCAAATCTTGTGGGGGAACAGTCAAGAGAACAAAAGGACCGATTCTGTACCAACATGTCCTCTTTTCAGCATCTGACTGCGAATTTAGCAGACTCATAATCTCAAAGCAGGGGGGCGGGGGCTCTGTGCAAGCAGTGTAGCACCCCCAGAGGCCTCTGAGTCTAATCCAGATCAGCCGCCGAACTGAGCTAATGTAGAGAGAAGTCACTTCTCTATTTGGGCCTCTGTTCTCTTGCTTACGTAAACTGAGGAATTAGACAGGAGATATTTTGTGTCCCTTTCAGCTAGTAATTTCAGTCCTATTCCTGCTTTTTTTGTGGAAAGTGTCCTGGAAGGACGTCTGCACTGATTGGGTGCAGTGCTGAGTTGACAAAAGGATTTTTCCTTAGTCAAGTGAGATAGAAAATGTAGTTTTTACTTGCACTTGCCAAGTAAAGTGTCAGAATAACCTTTGAACTTAGATAATGTTTGAAGTTCAATATAAGCTTTAAAATAACAGCCAAGGCAATCAAATCCAAATTGAGAGCGATCATGTTGCCAAAATATCATCTTGACAGTGACAGAACAGATATTGGCAGCGAACATGGTGACTGTTACATCAAGAGTCAGTTTTCATTTTCTGTTTTCTCAGATGCAGTGTGAAGACACATTTCTGAGGCTCTCACAAAGATTCGGAAATACCCCAGCAGCGATGACCAGGGGTGGGAAGGGCTCCCCCCGGAAGCACAGCCTTTGTTGGCCTGGGACTTCTGAAGCCCCAGTCCCTGCCACCACACTAACCCTTGCCAGGCCTTGTCGTGTCCAAGGCACCACTGCCCTTTTCTCTTGCTGCAGAAGCCCAAAAGGAAGAGGTGTCTACAGCATGGTGGACAAAACCCCAGGGAGGCAGTCTGGCTCAAGCCATGCCAGCATAATCAAGCACAAGCACCCAGACACAGCTAAAGTCAACCAAGAGCAATCTTATGCTCCTGTTAAACATGGAATGAACATTCAACACACTCAAGGGCTAACACACGAACAGCAAAGTATTAATCACATGAAAACATCATACAAGATACAGGCACGTTGGCCACCAACCATTTCCTGTTTAACTTCCTTTCGCCCCTGTGAGGTCTCCAAATAATTGCAATGAGTAAGTTGTTGCAGTTGATCGACATTATCTTTTTTGTGGGAATTTAAATTTTGATTAGTAAATATCTAACAGATCAAATAAAAGGTTTTGGGGGGGAAAATAATGAGATTTCCATCTAAGGATTCAAATGCAAACATGGTCTACATGACCTATCACTGGGTTAGCAAAATGAATGAATGAACAAAGCAAGTGATTCACTTTATCCAGGCAACTCGGGTAACTGTTGTCATGCAATTGCTTGTGGATATCATACAGTCTTAGATAGTTTCAGACCATGTGAGAGGGAATGAAACCTCATTAATACGTGTATATAGGCCCTGATAACTGGATCAGTCAGATAATTGGTGAAGCAGGTTCAACACGCATATGAATAATAAACCAAAATTTGAGACACAGTTACAGGAAAATTGCATCAAAGTGAAGGACTAGGACACCACTTCGTAAGAGGAGAAATATTTTAGGAAAACATTTATAGAAGAGTAGATGAAGAGCCCAGGAAGACAAAACTGGGGGACAAGTCTGATGCTTATGGTTATTATCAGTAGATCTATCTATTGACTATAATTACACTTAATACCTGTGATTAAACCCAGTGTGGGACAGTCAGTACAGACCTGCTTATTGTCTAATGGCCCCTTAGCTTGAGATACGTGAGAGACTGATGAGGTCTGTATTTTTAATTGCAGGGCAAGAAATATCATGTGACTTTCTAGTCAACTAGTAAGATTCTACATGATTTACTATGGAAGAATTGCGTACGGAAGAATTTTCAAGAAATTCCCAGTTCCCAGCATTTCAACAAAACAGTCACCTTGGCCCAAGTATGCTGTGGAGACACCAGCGCCTCTATGGTGGGTCACCTACTCAGTCCACAGATTGAGCAAGCAATGTATCTGCAATTTCATGAGTGAGTTCTACTCAAATTAGTAGGCTGTTTTCTTCATGAGCCAGATTTATCAGCAACAACCTCACGATTTCCTCTGGTGCCCAGAGAGATCTGTGTGCCCTGGCTAATAGGCTTGTATGTCAGTAACTAACCCGGCAAGCATAGTTTCCACAAGGGCTGGATGATAGCCAGGTGGGCCCCTCCAGGCTGGGAACCCAGCGGTGTGCCTTCTGAAGGGTGTTGATTTTGTGAGTCTGTTTTCTTCAGAGAGGTGCATATACAGCTCCTGGGCTGCCTGGATATAGGGATTGCTTGACTTATTTAAGGGAAACTAGAGCCTTTGAATTTTGAACATAAGTTGTTGGCAAAAAATGTAAGGACTTGAGTTGATGATGATGAGCCTTAATTTTTTAAAATTTAACTTTCTTAATTAATTTTAATCTTTTAAATTGAAGTAATATTGCATGGTAACACTATGTAAGTTTCAGGTGTGCTTCATGGAGAAGCAACATGTGTCTTTCATGTGAGTTTCTTTTTATCCAGAAACTCAGAGAGGCTTCATTCAAACAAAATGGCTCTGTCTCCAAATATCATAAAAGCTCCAGTGCTAATTTAAACTTGAAGTTCAAGCATTCAGACTAACGTCCTTGCCCTAGAGTACTAATATGATGGCAGCCGGTGCTGTTGTAGAGTGTGGACATCTATTCTGCAGCCATTAAAACATCACAAAGTATCTTAGCACTAAGACTGAATTTATTCTCTTGGGAGATCTACTTTGATGATCTGTAATACTTAACAAAAATTCTGCTTGGCATCCTTGGCATGTGTATAAATAACACGTACATGTGTCCTTGAGGTAGACCTGGAGTTGGTGGTAGGGTCACACGACTGGGCATGTTCTTCCTGGGATCTAAGGCCTTTGATCCAGAAGTTATGTTAAAAATTAGAAAAGAAAACCCGGTATTTGGTTGCAGTTCCTTTTTTTTTTTTTTTAAAGGTTGTTCTAGAAAGGTTGTTCTTTGAAAGGTGTATACTCTTTAATGGAAAAACGCTGCCTGAGGTTGACGTATGCTATCATAGGATCCACACAGCAACACAGATTCTGGCCTGAGAGCTCAGCCAGGTACTTCTGCTTAAACCTAAAGCTGTGTTTCCATTAGTGTTTTGTTTGTTTGTTTGTTTGTTTGTTTTTTGTTTTTTAAGGGGAGAGAAAAAAGAGAGGGCACAGAACAAGCGCAGGAGCGGGTTAATGTCAGAGCAAAACAGAAGGAGCGGCCCACAGTGTGGCAAGAGTCATTGCCACGTTACCTTCTTCTCCTTGGGTGGGGCTGGGGCCCCCGGCCTAGTGTCTTTAACTTGACTGTCAGCCCGGGACTGCTCAGCGTGACTGTTTGAATTTACATCCATAAAGGAACACTTCTGGAAAGCCTAAGGAATTAAAATACTGAGGTTAACAGGGGCCCAAGTGCAGAAAGAGAAGGAAGAGGAGGGCAGGGGACCCGGAGACTCCAGCTCAGCCCTGGTGCAGCAGGAGTCTCCGCATCTGAGTATAATCAATCACCTCTTCAGCTGATTCTAAAAGCCACTGGACCAAAACTCAGGAAACAGGCTGAGGGCAAAAATGCTGAGTCATGATGAATGCATGCATTCCGTGGGGAAGCTCAAAGTCCAGGTGGGACCCCAACACCTGCTCCTCATTTGGCTTCAGGCCAGTAGTGGTTTGAGGCTGTGTCTGGGGCAAGACTTGTTGACTTTCCTGAGACAGCCAAGATGAAAGAGACTTTGAAGACAAAGCCTTTCCTAGAGGTGAACCTGACTTGCAATTCTTCTTCTTCTTTACTGACTTTACTGAGCTCATAGAAGAAAGGGCACAAGATATTTTAAACTTTAAGCCTGAAAGTAAAGTAAAAGTTACCCTCACCAGTTCAGCGTCTGCAATAATAACAAGCACTACCATGCTGTTTAGCACCACTGTGATTAGACGGACCCAGTAGTGGCCCAGGCCTGTCAGGACTTGTCTCTGAAAGCTAATCAGTGTAGCTACAGTAGCCATGTGGGTTCATGCCGACCTGAAAGCGTAGGCTGTGTCTCTGGTGCTGAAAGGGAGTGACAGCATGATGATGAGCGCAGGAGAGATGGATTATTTGAGCAGTCCTTGAGAGAAATCAGTGGTTCCCAATCAGCTAACAGATCACTCAGTTAAAAAAAATACTTACCCAGGAGTTACCCACAGAATAACTAAATCAGAATCTCTGGACTAACGGGCTTTCTTGTTGTTCTTAATTCCCCAGTTCTTATATGCAGCCAGGAGTAAAAAGTACTTACTGAGTCTCCCTGATAGCACAAAGGGTTAAGCACAGCACTGTGAAGCTGTCTACAGCCACTGCAACACCAGTTCGATCCCCCAGCCAGGGAGCTGACCCAAAAGGCTCAGCAAACCTCTCCTGACCCGCCCGCTGCTCCCCTCAGCAGTGTACTTCAGTCAGTCCGCCTGTTCTGCTCCCTCTGTCTCTGGTGAATCCTTTTACCCCCTGCACCTCTGGCCTGAGCCCCAGTTCTTTTATGAACAAATAAATCTTACAGGAAATACTTATTTTATGTGAATAATTTGAATTAACTGCCTCGTATTTTCTTAATGCCACATATTGACTTGGAAATACAAAAGAAAGAATTACCTACAAAATCTTCCTAAGTGAACGTTTCACCATGACACTAAAATACAAACACAGCTGATGACTGGGACTTCCCTGGCCTCCCTGTCCATCCTCACTTGCTCTGTGTCCCCAGTGACTGGTTCCCTTCCCTGCAGACCTTTGGCCTCTTAGTCCTCACTGGCCTGGATATGCCTCTGCTTAGTCAGGCCACTCACCGTCTCCCTTGGGCCACTGGACCCTGCACCCCATAGCCTATGGCTCCTATGACTGGTAGGCAGAACACAAAGGTGTTCCACAATTACATTCAGGAGGCTGCAGCTGTTCCTTGTTCTGCCTCGGGGGAGGGGCGGGGGTCTAGCTCCAGAGCCTGCAGAGGCAAAGGAACTGGCCTGGTGTCTGGCCGCGGGTTGTCTGACATAGCAATTTGGGGCTCTACCCAGAAGCAGCTGGCTAAGTTCACTTAGAGCTCCTCTTTCACTTCTACTGCTGATCTACGCTACTATAACAAGAATATAACAGGTTCTTTGCCCTTCATAAAGCTTTCACTCAAAGAAAGCATCAAAGATCTGTAGGTTTTAGTGGGGGAAAGTATTCTCAGTTGATGAGCTTTAAGTAGCTGGAATAAACAACTGCTTCTCAGGATTATTCAAAAGTCTCAAAGCGTATGCTTTTGTTATTATTAATGACCACCTTGCACAGACTTACAGTTATCTTAGTATTTTGTCACCCATTTGAGCCAAACTGGGCTACAATCAGCTCACATTGTAACCGGGGCAGATGCTGCAACAAACGGTCCTAGCATCTGCCAACGCTTTAGGACAGACGCCAGTCCTGGAACACAAGCATCCTGGGCACGTCAGTTCAGTGTCCTTAGTTAGGGGTCTTCACTGGTGACTGAATGGATGCCTCTTATGAATCACTAACTTTAGAAATGCTATGAATGAAGGCCCTTCCTGGTGGCGCAGCAGGCTAAAGCACAGCACTAAGAAGCTAAAGCCACTTCAGCATGATTTTGAGCCCCGCCCTGGAGGTGACCCACATGGCGTGGCAGACCTCTCCTGACCTGCCTGCTGTTCAGCAGTGTACCTTGTCAGTAATACTCTTCTGCTCCCCACTCTGTCTCTGGTGAATCCTCTCACCGCCCCAGCACCTCTGGCCTGTACCCCAGTTCTATATGCATAAATAAATCATTTAAAAAAAGAAATGCTATGAATAAAAATCTCCAACTAGCCTATAAATCAGTGACCATTTTGACAGGTAGAAGGGATTCTCAGGCCAGTCTGTGATCTTCAGTGAGACTTGAAAGGGCTCACGCAAACAACCAACCACAAGCTCTGTCTTCTCTGTAGAACCCAAGTGCTTAAGTTTAACAAATTTTACCACAGAAAGAAGAGCAGAACAGCTGCGGTGGAAATGACATGGTTTGAAGTTCTCCCCACCCAAAAGGAAGAATGCAGGTCTGTGGGTCTGCAGAAAATTATTGGTACATGGGTGAGGAGACGACATGTTTTATTAGAGACCTTAGGAGGCTGTAGTCCGACTTTCGAAGGACAACATAAATCCTATAACATCTGTGAATCAAAATGAAATACTTTATAAACAGACTTTGGTCTAGGAATTGTGTACACGTCTTCAAATAGACACAACCTTAGAACATATTCCTAGAATAGATGTGGGATCAGTTTAGATACAGCCTCTCCAGTCCATCCTTAATCATATGAGTGGACAGTGTCAGTTGATTAAAAACAAAAATCTACAACTTATAAGTATCATTTTTGCAAATAGGTCAATGAAAACAGGCAACTAAATGATTGAGTTTTTCAGAATATTTGAAAAGATGACATTGACATTGAACAGGAGCCTGCTATAAAGAACAGCAGGCCTCATGAAGTCATTCTAAGTATTAAAGCCAAAGGGGGGATAAACACATAAGTAGGCTTTAATAAATCCTTATCAAGACAAGACAGAGGCCCATCTTTCTAATCCCCATTTTAATTGGTTTTGAAACAAAGCAGAGACTATTAGGATGTAAAGAAAGGATAGTAAATCCTACCAGTCAGAGCTAAGAAAGCAAGCAATCGATTTTTTGTATAAATTTCCTACATTTCCTGAAATGGTCATTTCTCACACATGTCTTAATGGTGCCCCAAGAGCACAGTTTCAGCGCCATCTTGGAAAAGTAGAAGCCAAGGCTCTGTGGACACAGCTTATGTGGCCACAACTGCAAGGCTCTCTGACGGTCCTCTCCAGCCAGTCAGTGAGAGCTGTGATCAAGAAGGACCCAGATCAGTAAACAGAGAACATGGTGTGTTATCTTATCCACATACCTGCAGTTCTGCCATTATTTTCTCTCCTTCTTCTTCTTCATCCTCATCCTTTGAGGAGGTGACGACAGGGGGAGGGGATGAGGCCCAGGCTGAAGCAGGCTCCTCTGCTGGACATTTTATGGTTCTAGCCTGTGGGCTTGGTCCAGCATCTTCACTGCTTGCCTATGGGAGAGTCAAGCCACAAATATTAGCTTACCACGCACAGATACTGGCATGAAAAGCAACAGCTCACAAGAACACTGTGTTCCCCATTTGCCTGGTGCCCTGGCTTTCTAGTGCTTCAAATCGAGTTGAAAGGCTATCATATTCCCTTGCACTTAGGATGGGTTTTGCTTTACATAAGCTCCGGTGAGTGGACTGAAGAATTATAAACCTACGCTAACTCTTCAACATTCAGTGCCTTTCCAAAAGGCTCTGCCACACTTCATCACCTTGGAAATGATATATAATATGAGAGACAAAACTTGCTAAGTTAATTAGAAGCTAAAGTTCACTGAACATCTTTCTGCATAGATACCACATCTTTCTATTGGCTGATCTCACCTTTACTTTTCTTTAAAAGATTTATTTATTTATGTATACAGAACTGGGGTACAGGCCAGAGGCACAGGGGCAGTGAGAGGCTTCACCAGAGACAAAGTGGGGAGCAGAACAGGCAGATTGATGAAATACACTGCTGAGAGGAGCAGTGGGCAGGTCAGGAGCCATGTGGGTCACCTCCAGGGCAGGGATCGAACTCATGCTGAAGTGGTTTTAGCTTCTTAGTGCTGTGTTTTAACCTTAGTGCTGTGCCACCAGGGAGGGCCCTCAACTACCTTTTTAAGATGGTCTTTCTTTTGCTTCCCCTTCTATTCCCATTTTTAAGCTTATGACTGCCTGCTGAGGAGGAAGCTTGTGATTTTTATTTCCCACAGTTGCAGAGAAAGGTAGGTAAGGATAAACTTGCGGTGTGGAGTCTAGTCCAACATTGGCTGATGTTTTCCCCACTGTGTGGGATCTAGTTTATCTGTTATCTGCCACACTACTTATGTCCTGAGAGAGAACAGTGAGGATCTTCTCTAAGGGATCATATGAATGAGAGACTGTACCAAGGCTTAACCCATCCTCAGACCTTAGCAATGGTGTTCTCCTTCCTGCTGGTGTAGACCACATCGCCAGATCTTGTGGTGGTGAGTCCCGATCCTGGCAGGTAGCTTCGTCGAGGAGGTGGGGGAGGAGGAGGTGGAGACTTACCCCCCAGCTTGTCCAAGTCCTGTTCTGAACTTGGAGAGTCTTCTGGAAAATATGGGGCCATTCCATAATCATCATCTTTCAAGATAATGTCCAGAAAGTTCTCAGTGCATTTTTATAAGTTCAGTGCAATCTGATGTGAAAATTCCTCTATTGTCTCTATAAATGCAATCACCCTGAAACCCTGCTGGCTTGAAATCCTAGAAAAGCCTTGAACAAGTTAATTAACCCCACTTGTCTCTTTTTTCCTCATCTGTTAAATGATCATTATCAGCTATACTGGGGTGTTCTGAGGATTAAATGACTTACTATACCTAGAGTATTTAGGACAGTGATTGGTTTATTATAAAGGCTATGCAAGTATTGTTGTTATTAAACAAATTTCTTATACAAAAAAGGAGTATAATTTGCAAAAAGGAAGAATCAGAGTCTAAGGGAAATCCAGAGATTTCCTGCATGGCCTCCTAAATCCTCATTCCCTCCCCCCCTCCCCCCAGTCTAAAAGATTACTTCAGTCGGAGGGATTCATGCAGGGGATGCCAGAGTCAGGCCACCCCAAGGAAGGACCAGAGGAAAGAGAGAGGCAGAGGCAGATAGGAATAGAGAACAAAACCATAAGGAAGTAGACTTTTTTGGTCATGGTCATATGATTTGAAAGGTTCTCTGCTAGTTGAAAGGAGGCGGTGAGGCAGCACAAACAGTTCCCTCATAAAACTGCACAACTAGGCGCCAGGGAACCTGAGATAAGCAGAGTCAGAGATAAAGCTGATAACAGTAAACAATTCCAGCAGACCTGCCCCAGTGTAAATAACTCCAGCAGACCCCTTCTGACAGAAGAGACTCCCTCATGTACACCAAAAACTCCAGCAGCCACTTTAACCCTATAAAGACCCACTCTCCCCATTTGGGGGAGAGGGGCACCTTTCAGCTTGCAGGGGGTGGTCTCTCACAGGCTTTCAGTAAAGCCCCCTTCAGTCTGATGCTCTTGACCTTTTTTTTTCTACAGGCAGCAAGTCAGCAAGGAGAGAATTATGAATCAGCATTAGCATTAAAGTTTGAAGACACAGATACCAGCTTAGTGTTCTCAGAAAAAGACATTTCTTAATCAAAACTTAAGGCGCCTCATTCCTGCCCTTTGTCAACATTTCTCACTTCTGCCCTTGACCAGTGCTCTGCCCAGGAGCAAACAGAAGAGGTAGAACCGGATACTGGTACTGGGCTTCCAATGGGCTTGGTGCCAGCTCTCTCCAGATACAGGGTTTGGCCTTCCTAGAGTGTTTGTTTTCTGAATAACCAACACAGAGTTGTTTAGACGAGATGACTGAGAAGTTTCTACCTAAAGCTGTCGTAAAGACGGGCAAATCATTAGGGTGAAATGGAAGCGATTACTGCAGCCAATGCTCCTGCCAGGCAGGAGGGCACCACGTCACTGGCTCTGGCAGCATTGGCCAAGTAGCTCATCCCTAAGTCAGCAGCCTGGTTTGGGGATAAACTCCCCCACCCCAACTCCGAGTGCCTTTAGGGTATGACCAGCTCTGGAGCTGGGCCTATCTGACTCTTCACATGTCCAATGGTGAAGACACCTCTGTGACCAACTCCTCCATGAGACTTCACCCTTGGCCTGCTGATGCCAGTTTTAGTAAAGAATCCTGCTAAGTGAGGCTGGCAGGACTTTTCCCACTCTTGGTATCCAAACAAGCTCTTCATTTTCCACCCATGAAATCTAAGTCCTTGGCTAACCTTTAACAAGAATGCCCCATCCTTGATACGTTGTATGGTCCATGGGGCTGAGCTCACTCTCTCTCCCCTACTGAAATACTCTTGTGAACAATACTCTGTGAACAATTTTTGTTTAACACTGACTAAGGCCATGATCCCCCAAATTTTCCATTGATTTCTGGAAGCTACCCATCCTGAGCAGTCAGACAACTCACAGGAGGAAACACAAATAGTTTCAAAAACATCAAACTTAGAATCTTACCTCAAAAGCAAAAATAAAGAAAACAATGTCCCATGACAAAGAGATAAAAATGACAGACACTAATGTTTACAGGTAATAGGGTACAGCCTTCCACATTTCTGGTGGCATGAGTGGACTCTATGATAAGAAATCAGGTCAATTATTTAAAAAAAAGGAAAAGAAATAAGAACATTTTAACTCAGTAAATTTAATTTATAGAATTAAAAAAAATCATTAGATATTCTTTTAATCTGAGGGAATAAAAAGCCCAACTTAAGTAAATTCACAAAATGTAATGTTATTATTTTTCTTGTACAATCATGAGAAGGAACAATTTGAATTAATTTATAATTACAAATTATCAAAGGATTATATAAAACAATAATGGGGAGAGTTGAATTCAGCAAGGTAGAAAAGTAATGAGGTTGAGCATTTCATTCATCAGAAATTCTCCATGGGAACTTTGGGAGGAAAGCATTTTTCAGGAGCAGAATGGCACCCAACAGGGCCCCCCCTTCTCCATGTGTGGTGAGGGGGGCTCTCAGAAGGAGAAGAAGGTGCAAAGTCTCTCTTAGCAGAGACTGAGGGGGTGATCAGGGCAGTTTTAGGGGACGATCATCTGGAAAGAGTGTTACAGGGGTAACACACAGTATCCAATTCAATGTTTTTGGACTCAAAATGGAGATTCCTTCCCAAATTAACCTTGATTACTGAGTAAGACACAAATTTGAGAGACACTGGGTTGCAAGTGAGATAATATCTTTGTATGTAATTTTAAAATCAGAATGATCTTAATTGACTGGAGGTATTGTGAATTTTTAAAAAACAGGTATTTTGTATTATTACGGACACACTGACTTGCGTGGCTTAGTTGAGTAAATATGTAACCTACTAATTATGGTTTAAAAAATGCAATTTTGACTTGAGATCTAATATACCCCCTGGGATCTCATAAAGGCTGGCATTTTTTCTCTGCAGTAGATGGAAAGTGGCTGCTTTAAGTTCAGGCCTCAATTTTCCCAGCTGGTGCTGTGACATATAATAAATTCATGGAAAATATAGAAGTTAAGAATTTAAATTTACCTTATGAGGTGTTGTTCTAGTGGTTTATTTAACACAGAGCAGTTTCCTTGCTATGGTATAGTTAAGAAGGAGTAGAGAGGCTGTAGGAACACCTGAAGATTTGTTCTTCTAGTTTAAAATTTTTATAAGATTCTTAAGAGTCTGGTCGTGTTCAGCCAGCAGGTAGCCACACAGCTGCATAAATACCTTACCTGAAAGTTCCAGCTTCTCCACGGGAGCCTCACTCTTCAGCTGTGGGCCTGAGGCAGGAGGCATCTCCAGATTTGGAATTGACTTCATAATATTAGCCTGAGCTTCTTCTAGAAGTTTCTCAAACTCTTTCCCATTATAGTGTTCCAGATTTTGCCTCTTCTCTTCCCATTTCCTTTCTGCTTTCTGAAAGGAAAACAGCAGGTAGAGAAAGTTTAAAATCCAGAGAAAAAAGTTTATTAATAGTTTAGAGATTTTATGGTGGAGCAGAAAGAGCTATAATGCAGAAGTGTTGTTGGAACAACACTTTGGGTTCCACTCTGGGTGACACTTCTGCCATCTTTTCTATGAACTGCCATTTAAACTCAAGTGCTAGTCATGAACAGAGAAGCAAGATTAGAAACCTAAATTCATGCATTAAACAGGCACTTGCTAGATACATCTCCCAATACTAACAAAAGGGGCCATGGGTATGTTTTCAAAGGTATGTTTCCTATAATCCAGTTCTTTTTAAGTAAAAAAATTTAAAAATATATTCATTGTATCATCCTTCATTTTTGTACAATGTATGCTTAAACCAGTTTTCGTTTTCTACATTCAATTTTCATTGTGGAAGAGAAGTTCAAACAAACAAAAACCAAAACACTGACTAGGAGCAAAGAATCCTAGGTCTTAGCTCAACTTCTGTTAAAGAATCGCTTGCTATCAGAATTTCTGCTTCACATTTTCTTACTTACAAAATGGGGGGCTATTAAGATGATGACCTCTAAGCTCCATCAAGTTCTACAATAGGGAGAATACATAAGATGTATTTTAAAATACTTGTTAATATGGCAAAGAAAAATTTCCTGCCTATCGTTCCAGGAAATTAGTACCATGATTAGCAGGAACCTAAAATATAAGACATGGAAAAAGACCCAAGAGATCACTTTATCAACACGTTTTATGGAACAGAACATTGGGGTGTAAAATGAAAAATTAGTCCAAGATTCACTCTACAAGAATAACAGATTCCACTATCACCATCTGTACCAGCCTGTTTTTTTCTTCCTAGTGTTTATCATCAGTTTGTATCCACATGTTCTCTGTCTCTTCTAGTGGGGGAGTTTCTCGAGGGCCTGGACTCTACCTATCCCAGAGCCTATGAGTGCCTGGCACATGAGGAGTTGGTAGTAGTTGTCGAGTGAATAAGGTTTACCTTATTCCTTGATGGCAGAACTGGTAGACCCAGGCCTCCTCCTGCCTGTGGGTCAGGGCACTGGAAAGTGCTTCATAAGTTTCCCCAGCAAAATCTAAAATAGCCAAGCTCAGTGTGTTCTCAATAGTTATTTGTGAAATAAATGAGTCTTTTGGACATCCTTTACATATGGTGATGTTTAAAGTGGCAGAGCCTCTGTCAGGCAGAATGTGGTTTCAGCTCTCTCCCCTGCCTGGTTAGGCATAAACCGCAGAATCGTGATCTGCTCATGGCAGCCAGCCACGTTTCCACCCCCTCCTAGGAAATGCATTTTGTCACTAGCTCACTTGGGTCAGAGGCGCATCTACTGACCATGGGGCAGAGAGCAGCTATGTGGTGTTCAGAGGCCCAGGAGCAGTTTTAAGAGGTCGCCTCTTCCTGTACCCTGAGTTATCCTCCGCTGACATTCAAGGGGTGCAGGAAGAGTTTGGACCAGGTTTCGGTGGGGATAAAGAAGCATGTGGAGGAAACATTGTGTGGTGAGAACTAAGGAAACAAAAATGTTACTTGAGCGTAGAGACCAGCTCTTGATTAAAAAAACAACTAAAAAGTGTGCCTTTTCTCTATGTTGCATGCTTTGACCTAGCTTTCTCTATCTTGACTGTCTGTGCCTTGTGTTCCCAAGCCACTGGCCATAACTTCCTTCCCAGTCCCCTTAATTCCAGATCCATCACCTCAGTCAATTCTGTGTATTGTTTCCAGAAGATGGCATTTTGGTCACTGGATCAAGCTGCTGCATTTTTCTGATCCCTACAACATAAACTTGACATGTCAGCCTGTTGTCAAGGTCTCCAAAACTGGGTTCCTGCTTTGTGGCCTTACCACCTCTTTCTTGTTTCCAGTTACACTCCTGGTTCTCTGTGCCAGCATTTCTCTATCCTCCAGTGCCTTCACCACCCTTCTCTGCTTATTTTTCAGCTTCTACTTAATTTTCAAAGCTTGACAAGCCCTCCGCAGGCTGTAGCCAGTGCCCTGTGCCTGCTCCCTCTGGAGAGAGGACGGCAGGTTTCCTCAGACTGCACACACAGCTGTCATGTTGTGTCCTAGTATCAGGGAAGGTAGTGGTCTTCCCACCTCAGAAACAGGCAAAAGCTACAAATCCAATGGAATTTCCCCCAGAGAGCGGTTTCTAAACACACACCAACACTGTACAGTCCTGCCTTCCTACAGGTGGGCGGGTACCCTCCTTTGAAATCTGATGGCCTTTTTTCATCCGGTCATTGAAGCCCACTGGTGGTTTTAAAAGACCATCTTTGATGGCCAAGAGGAATCAAATAATGTCCAAAAAATAACAACAATATATGAAGACAAACTAACATGAATAAATAAATAAATAAATAAAATACTAAAAAAAAAAAAAGTGCATCTTTGAGAATGAACTATCAGTGATGGGGTGATGGGTGCATTCTCTCTGGTAAACACAGATCTTTGGGGTATGTGCACGTGCACCCAGACTAATCTCTATAGGAAACCCCGCGGCTATGCTACCTAATGATGAAAAATGGAAATAAGACTCACTTCAATAGACACGGCCCTGTGCTTGGCACTCGCACTGTGGATTTCCTCAATGAACAAGGACTGCATGGCAGAGCCGGTCACCGGCCTCTGTGGGGACTGAAGCGCCAGCGTGGAGGGCATTTCCTGTGTGATGCCGGGAGGGCTGGCGGGGTGGGCACCTGCAGCGCCGTGCTGGGCCTGGTTTGGCAGGGTGGAGGAGAGCTGGGAGGGCTGGATGACCACCGGCGCGCTCTGGGCGTGATGGACCGTCAAGGGCACCACTTCCGACTTCACATCGCCTGGGACGCCTGCGGCGTGGAGGGGCTGGCCTGCCTCCTCCTGGCCCCTCAGGACTTCCGCGGCCGTGGCTTTCTCCATGGCGACATACTGCGCGGCCTGCGCTGCGTCCGTTCCTTTCAGGAGCCCGTCAGTGACGTGTCTGGGAAAAACCATGCAGAGCAGTGTCGACTTGAGCACTGAGCACTGGTGACTTTTTTTTTTTTTTATTTTTTATTATTATTATTTTTTTTATTTTTTTAATTTTTTTTAAGATTTATTTATTTGTACATACAGAACTGGGGTACAGGCCAGAGGCTCAGGGGCGGTGAGAGGCTTCACCAGAGACAGAGTGGGGAGCAGAACAGGCAGATCGACGAAGTACACTGCTGAGGGGAGCAGTGGGCGGGTCAGGAGAGGTCTGCCACGCCATGTGGTCTCCTCCGGGGCAGGCGGGAATCGAACTCATGCGGAAGCGGCTTTAGATTCTCAGTGCAGTGCTTTAACCCGCTGCGCCACCAGGGAGAGCCCGACTTTTTTTTTTTTTTTTTAAAGATTTATTTATTTATGCATATAGAGCTGGGGTACAGGCCAGAGGTGCAGGGGCGGTGAGAGGATTCACCAGAGACAGAGTGGGGAGCAGCGGGTGGGTCAGGAGAGGTCTGCCGAGCCATGTGGGTCACCTCCGGGGCAGTGGGGGATCGAACTCATGCGTAAGTGGATTTAGATTCTCAGTGTTGTGCTTTAACCCGCTGTGCCACCAGGGAGGGCCTGAGCACTGGTGACTTTTCACTGGACTGTCATGGTAGATGCCCCTGCTGTGCCATCCCAAAGACTGGCAAAAAGTTATAGCCAAACTCAGTCTCTAAAATGCAGAGGTACAGTCAGGGCTGAGTGTTTCCATAACAACACATTAGACATTCCACCCCCAGTTATCCCTGGAGCTGCTTGCTGTCTTTTTTGAGGAGATGCCCTGTCTTTCCTTCCCACCAATATTGTTTTGGGCAGACTGACATGATTCTGTCACTCTCGGGCATGATGGCATGAAGTGGTCACATGATTCTAACAATGGCGTCTCCACTGAATCCTGGCTTGGATGTCTCTCCAAAGTGCTCAGTACTAACCTCATAAAGCTTCGTAGGCCCTCCAAACTCTCCAACTTTCATTGCGGAAACCCCAGGAGTGTAGCTTACATTCTAATTTCCTTCTGCTTGCTCTTGTAGTTCTGATGCCATATGACTTCCCCACCCAGACTGACTCAACAGGTCTTTGTGCAAGGTCAACAACTGGGTGAATGCTCACTGTTCTGTTCTCTGGGGCCTTTCAATGATGTTGGGCTGTTGGAAAAACCATGATGCATTTTGACTTCAAAAATAGAAAAAAGTACATCATAAGCTTTCTGACAACCCATGGTGCAGTAGAAAAGACACAGTCTTTGGTGTCTTCAGGCCTGTGTCCGGTTATCAATTCTGTCATGTTCTCGATCTACAATGTTGGGAAGGTTGTGTTTTTGAGCCTGACACTTTTCTATAGAACGTGAGGATGATGATGTCTTTCTTAGGGATAGTTGATATGATTACTGTAAAGTTATATGTAAGACAAAGTTAAACATGGTACTTAATCTGTAACTTTTAACTAGTCCCTCATTCTCTTCTTATTAAAAGGTTTTCTCTCTTTTTGATTTGAAAAGTCACTGCATACTCTGACTCTCCTCTACTATTCACTCCTTTGTTTCTTTTGCTAATTTAACTTTATGTCTACCATGTCTTTACAGTTCTCCCAGGATCTGTTCCCTCCTTTCCCTCTTATTCCACCAAGCCATCACTTCCATATTCAATATTCATACCCTCTCCCGTCCTTCTCTCCAGGCTAGGCAGGGACCCCTTCTCACTCTGGCTTTTGAATTTCAATTCATATTTCCAAGTGCCTAGTGGGACAGCTCTGTCTGGATATCCTTCTAGCACCTCAAAGTCAACACACAACAAACCACTTCAGCATCTTCCCAAGGCCATTGGTGGTTCTGAACTGTGACTGTCAAGGGCTTTATCATCTCTGCTAGGGTATAAGGATGCATGAAATCCTTGGGGTCTGGGTGCATGTCCCCCACTCCCCCAACCCAACTATTCCATGTTGCCAAATATAGCATGCTATACATGGATGGTACTAAGAAAAAATTAATAGTATAAAGGCTTGCGGTGAGCAGCCTGATGGCAGCTAAATTTTTTTATTTTTAAAGTTACATAAGTTTCTTTGTCATTCTCACTGCTGAGTCTTTATGAGATAGAGTCCTATCACATTAGAAACACACAATCCCTGCTTTTTAAAAAGAAATTGCATTCTCTGGTGATAAGACAAATACTGAGCTTTATCACTCTGCTGACTCAAATGTCTTTTAGGGAAGAGACGAGAGAAATGCTGGCAGTGTTACCTTCCAGCTTACTATCTCTTTCCACTTAATAAGGTGGTTTGTGTTAGGCTTTGCAGATGGGATGCCATCTTTAGGTAAGAGCTTAATGAAGAATTCTTTGAACAGATTTTTATCCTTCTGGAACATCATGCTGGCTAGATAAATTTGGTAAAACTATGAGAAAATGTAATTCAGGTACAACTTCTTCCTGTTCTCAGTCAGACGTGGTTTCTTCAGGAGGACACCACTGTTTTACTTCAGGCTTTCCTTGGCATCATAAAACTTATAAAGGTGTTTATACAGTTACTTTGTGGTAATATCATCTCAGAAGGGGCTCTTTTTTGAGGTCATCTCTACTAGAAAAACTGACTTGCATCTATGGTTAATCATTCATTTAAAAGTCAAATGGCACATTGGTTTCTCTTAGAAATCTGATCAAATGATTATAGTGATTAAAAAACTAAAATCTCAGGGAGTGTCATTGTTGGAAGGTTTCGATAGATTGTTTTTTGGTAGCTGTGTTTATTTTCCATGTGAGAGAGGAAGTTTTATAAAGGCAGGGGTACTATTTGTGTCAGTATTATTACATTCTTAACACCCAATATCGAGGCTGGAGCAGAGATAAAATGTCCAGATATTGCTGATAGCCTGACTGTGTGTTCTGAAACAACCAAATCCGGGAGTCAATCTTGGTTCACATCCCAACCATCTCTGCTCTCCTCAAAATCCAATTCTTCCTACAAAGTTGGAAAAATAATCCCTGTCTAGTAGGTTCTGAGCTGAGACCAATGGAGCTAAGACATGTAAAGTTCAGTGCCCTGCCACATAGAAGTGCTTTTCAGTGTGAGCCATTGTTTCCATTGTGTTGAGAAGAAAGACATTCATAACTCAAAGACAGTGTGTGATGGTATAAGACACTGATGAGAGAAGTGTTTTTTGCAACATAAATCCTGTATGTGTATATGTCAGTATGTTTTACATGGTATGGAGTTCTGGCATTTTCTTTGCAGTGAAAGTCATGGGTGAGTCAGTGATTTCTTTCAGTCTTTCCTCTACACTGGTCCTCTTTGATGGATAGGTAATAGCACCTGGCTTGTGCCACTCAAGGGCTTTCATTTTCCCTTTCTAGATGGAATTAACAATTTCTTGGATACTCTTTCAGTAAATCATTCATGATGGGCTTTATTTCTACTAACTAAAGTCATCTGTGCTCCTAAAGGGGACAATTAAAATACATTCTGATCAACTCTTCAACTTCAAAAACATATTTAAAAGAACCACCTTCAAATAATTCTTAAAATGTGCAGCCTGGGCCTTCCCTGTGGCGCAGCGGGTTAAAGCACAGCACTAAGAAGCTTAAGCCAATTCTGCATGAATTCGATCCCTGCCTGCCCTGGAGGTGACCACATGGCGTGGCAGACCTCTCCTGACCTGCCTGCTGTTCCCCTCAGCAGTGTACTGAGTCGATCTGCCTGTTCTGCTCCCCACTCTGTCTCTGGTAAAGACTCTCACCGCCCCTGAGCCTCTGGCCTGTACCCCAGTTCTGTATGAATAAATAAATAAATCTTTAAAAAAAAATATGCAGCCTGGAGTCCAGACACCGCACCCTCAATGTTCCCACTAGCTGGCCCCCCACGCTGCAAGCCCCCGAGAGGCCCAGTTACCTCCGCAGCGTGGTCAGGGTGTCCGTCATGCCCCGCACTCTCTGTAAGAGGCTGTCCAGCCGGTGCGGTTCCTCCTTCAGGAAGCGTACGGCCTCCACTTCAATGCGCAGGATGGCCCGCATCTTGTTTTGTAAGGTTGGAAATTCTCCTGCAGGCCAAAAGCAGCTGGTGAGTTGTTGGAGAACAAGCCAGAAGAGCAAGCCCCCCGCCCCCACCGCCATGGACCTGGGCATCCTGTGTGTGTTTCGGGATAGATCTGCTGTCTCTTTGTCTGAGCTTTATGGCACAGCACACATAAGAGCCCAGGAAAGAGAAGCCGTGATTAGCAACATGTAGTTCTAAATCAACAAGCATCCAGCTCTAAGAAGACAGGCTTGTTTGCCTGTTTTGTTCAGTTATGTATCCCAAGTGCCTAGAACAGTGCCGGGCACAAGGTGTTTGATGAATGCTTGCTTGCATGAATGAATGAGTGAGTGAGTGAGTGAGTGAATGGATGAAGGACTCCGCTACCTGACAAACTTTTAAACACCCCAGGGGACACACTTCAGACGTCTCCCTTCCAGGAGGAAGCTCACCTTTCAGGGTAGCTACCGCCTCTCCCACTTGCCTCAGGAGAAAAGCCCCATCTTCCACATCTTTTAGGGTAACCACCCGGCCAGCTGATGCAGAGTCTTTCTTCAAATCTTCAACAAAGTCTTCCAGTTCACTGCAGGGGGTTTGGAGGGGAAGCAGACCAGAGACAGGAGTGAACACCGAGGTCCTCAGAGGGACAGTGCGGTATTCTCCTCCCACGCACCGTGTCTCCCTCCCTCCCTGGCCTTCTGTTTAGATGGTGGGCGTGTATCTTAGAAGAGTAGCTTGGTTTGTCTGAAAGCATTTTGCTGAGCTATCAGGCAGGTGCAAGGAAGTTTCCCCAGCGCCCGATCGCGTGCAGGCCCCAGTTAGCGGCTTCCGACAAAGGACGGGCTCCTTGTTTCAGGGAGTAAGGGAGCAACAGTGCGCAGGTGATGGGGAGGAGGGAGGGGGAGAAGAGAGGAAAGGAGAGAGGGAAAGGAACAAAGAGAACACAGAGAATAGAGAGCACAGTCCACGCTGTGGTACAGCAAAATCAGCAGCCCACCTTTGGCTTGTCAGAGTCCTCAGCCTCGGCCCTGGTCACTTTGGACAGATAACTCCTCATGGTGGTTTGTCCATGGTGCTGGAGGATGCTTAGCAGCACCCTACGGGCTGGGGATGTTTACTAGATGCTGGCCCTCCGCCCTTCCCCCAACTTTTGACAAACAAGAACGTCTCTACGATTGTTAAATGTCACTTGGGGAGAGTAACTGTCCCATCAATAAGGATAGACTTTCTTCTGCAAGCTACAATAGAAAAGTGATGACTCCAGCCCTGATTCTGGGGAGTGTGTGGGTGTACACCTCAGGGCATGCTCAGTTCTAAGAGAGCGAAACTCAGGCTTTCTGCTTCAACAAACAAACAAACAAACAAACAAACAAACAAACAAACAAACAAACAAACAAACAGTGACATCCTGTCTCTTATCAATTAATAACGTCATCCTAACCTACCTTTCTGTGTCTCTTTAGTACCTGTAAATCTGACAGCAGAAAACTCTTGACTTGGAAAAAAAAATCTTTGAGAAATAAAAAAAATCCCTTGGTGGCAGGAAACAACTATTCAGACAGAGGAGCAGAAGCGAAGGCAGACAGTGTCTGATCAAGGATGGCCAGGGAGCCCCTGCCCCAGAGGTGAGCCATGGGATTCAGGCAGGAGGTCACGTTCAACAAGGCAAATCTGCTTTTATCTGCCTCCAAGAAGTGGAGAGGTGTTTTCTTTGGTGATGCTTTCAATTCTCCCACAGAAAAAGGACCAATTTGTTTATCTCTCTTTCACATGAGATGATGCAATTTGAGGAAAAGGGAAAGCTGCATTCACTTTGTTTGCAACTGTCCACATTTGCAAACATGGAAAGGAGCCCAGTGTTTTGTAAACACACTCACAGGAAAACACAGAGCTCCAATCCCCAGGTGCGAGAAGGCAACCATCACCCAGGCAAGCTCGGAATATGGAACCTTTGTGCGGAAAGTTTTTGCATTCATCACCATATTATTGCAATGTGTAGAACGGGCACAGTGTCTGGTCTTTTCAAGCTTGATGGGAAGAGAGAAGACTCGTGGCTCCATCAACAACCCACAAGACTGCCAGGGAGTTGTCACCACCCAGTCTGCCTATAACTTAATCTCTTCTACCCAGTACACCACTTGGATTTCATAACCTTTGCATAGGAGACTCCTCAAGTCACAGCTTTCCCTGCCAATCACCAAACAGACACAAATGCGTCGCTATGTGACATTATGCAACAAAGTCATTCTCCTCCTGTCTACCATATCTTATAGATAAAGCAAACATACACAGATAATTGGCTCATTTAAAATGCAAATCAGACCACGGAGCTAAAGTAAATGCTGAAATTAAAATTTCTTATTATAGTAATAAATATGGCCTTTGAATGTGAGCTCTGTTCAAATGAATGTTAGATATCCCCAGATGCTACTGTTTATAGGTACATCCACTCTATTTTTTGGAGTTGCAATTCATTCTACTTTGGCTGTATAGAAGCATGGATTTGTTGAAATAAATTTCATCTGACCATTATTAGAAACCCAAGACGTTACCTTGATCCAATTTCTCCCCATAGTTCTAGACCCAAATTTCACCTCTACCATTTGAATGGCTCACCAGCAACTTAACCCTACATGATTCTCAAGGGAATATCCCAGGTAGACGTGGGTTTGTGAGTGTGAGAATCTGGGGCAGAGGAGGCGAAAGGGAGGGGAAGGGAGTGTGGGGAAGGAGAGAGGTAGTCATTTTTCTAATGTTCTGCAAATGAAATTTCCAGCTGCCTGCTATTATAACCCTCTTCTGCAGCCATTGAACCATCCAATTAGTTTATTTTTTTTGATTTCCTTTTCTATTTCTGTGCATCTTGCTGGATTCAGACCTTATTGACATTGTCTAAACTGTTATCGTCACTTCCGAAGTCATTTCCCTGAACTCAATCCACTTACATCTGATCCCCTCCAGGACTGTGTAAGTGTAGCTCTGACTTTGCAACTTCCTTGACCAAAAAAATTTAGTGGCCTCATCAGACTGGCCAGTAATTCAAATGTGTAGATGCTTTGGAATCTCCTTTGCAATTTGGCAAAATACACATTCCCAAATTCTAAATTTCCAGAGAAATTCTTGATCTGGGGTTGGGACCTAGGGATTATCATGAACAGGCAGAAATCCAGATTCTGCTCTAGGATCTTCTAATCTCAATAAGCACAAGCTGGCAGGCAGGGTTTACGTGTAGTATGAGAACAGGGCAGGCACCATGCAGACAGGAATGGTGCAACCCAGGCTGAGACAAAACTAGCTCCACCTCCTGGACACCACCAACTCTCCAAGGATATAGCTTTCAGATTCTGACACTTGTGGGTTTACCGGGCTCAGTTTCCTGGGAGACCCCAACCCACCCCAGTGCCCTCTAACTTCCACTGATGAAATCCTTCTTGTCCTCCAAGACATCTCAGTTCAAATGAACATAACACTTGTGAGAATGGGCCCCCTCACGGCACTGTGTTTAGAGGAAGAGTCACTAACTTCAGCTTACTGCTGATCTCGGGGGCCAGACGCAATCTCTCCTCTATACATCACCTGCTCTGTGTTATGTGCACTCGTCTGTTCTCCTTTGCCAGACTGAGGTTCCTGGGGGAGCCCTGTGTGTATCTTATTCACATGGCCCCTCCTACAAAGCCCATCAGAGATGGTCTAGCACAGAGATTAACATGCCTTTTCTAGGCCAGAAGCAAAAAATATTTCAGCTAATCAATAAAAGTAATTTTTAAAGAACATTTAGTTCTGCATAATTTAATTGGAACATTTAGAAAATTATTAAAAGGACATATTTTAAAGAGGTCGTCCAGAAGAAACTTCTTTAGAAAATTGGACTGACAAAAATATTAATTAACTATAAATGTGTGCACTAAAAATTAGAAATATTTTGAGATGCCCATGAATAGTGGTCAAATTTGATTTTTTAAGGAAAATATTAACTCAAATTGCTTCTTCCCCCTAAGACTGCTACTGAAGGGGCAGTCTGATGTTAATCAGACGCGGTGGGTGGCCATTTGAGGTGATGTAAACTACAGCTCAAATGTCAAATTGAAACAGAACCCAATATTTTCCATCACACAGACTTCTGAAATCTGGTCATTCAAAAAACCTGAAAGTCGCTCCCCCAAAACTGTAATTGGGGGATTTAAGCTTTCCAAGAGGAAGGAGAATTACCAACACCAGAAAAACCCACAAAAATTACTCTGCTTGATACGAATGGCAGAAACCCTTCCACGATACATCTTGGTTGTGTAACCAAACATGTTAATATGAGAGATGCTCCCGCCCTAGTCACGAGGGAGTGATAAAATCCAGCTGTTTCAACAGCAGGACTGAGAGGCCGCTTCCACTAAGAACCGCACATGTGACCGTGGCGTCCACCAACGTGGCTTTCATTCCGGCATCAGCGATACTTTACATTTAATTCTTTCGCTATTTAATCACGGTTGAGTAATAGGAAAAATATTTTACTGCTGTTATTTTGGCTATTAGTTTGAACATGAGATGAAGTCCTGGCTGCCCACTGATCACTGGGTTTTCCCATTGCTCCTTTATGTGATGATGAACCTCCAAAAGTGTAGGGTGCTCTGGCTTTTACACAGATTGGCTTAGTCTCCTGGAGACTGCTGAACTTTTGGGCCTGGACAGACAGCTCTCAGTGTCCACCTGCAGAACTCCCACCTGTGCACAGGAGGAGCCAAGGAGGAGGGCAGGAGAGGGCAGCATTTAGGGAGAACACCCCACTGGCAAGGGCGGTTTCCTTCCAGTTAAACTGTGGGCCTGCAGCAAGTCGCCTACACTCACCACAGCTTCTTGACGATCCTCTCCTCTTCGTGCAGGTACTTCTGTCTCTCTTGCTCCACCAGAACACGCTGTCGCTGCACCGGATCCTCCAGTCTCTTCATCGTTTCAATCACTTTGCTACTGATTTCCAGCTCAGCCTTCTTCATCATTGCCCTCAGCAGCTCCTGGTTCTGCAGCTGTGGAACAAAAGAAATCAACCTCAATCGGCTCGGCCTGGCTGACATCAGGGCGCCTGAATGCCTGGCGGCCTTTGGCAGCGGGTTTGGATAAATAGCCCCACAGCTGAATCTTTCTTTCTTTCAACAAGAAAAGGAAGGGAGGCAAGATTGTATATAATATTCCTTCTTCAGCCAACATCACAGTCACTGCAGTCAACTGACACTCAGGCTTTCTGTCTAGCTCAAAAAAAAAATTAGTATCCTTTCTTCATTCTGTTCAGTGTTTCAGGGACAATGGACATCACTCTCATTGGTGGAACTTTGTGGGGGCAGCTAAGAGCATAGTTTTGGAGCCAAACAAACTTTGGGTCATAACCTCTGCCCTCTCCCAGGTAACAGTGGGGCCTGGGACTCACTGGTAGGACTCTGTTAGTCCCCACTAACAGTTATCTTTGAACGAGAGGATTCACTCTTCTTGGCAGGGGTATTCTGAGGAATAAATGAAATATACTTGGCATGGAGTAGGTCCTCAACAAAGGTTCATCTGGCTGTGGACTATTTCAGTGTATCAGTTAGAGAGACCATGTTCCTCTTGTTTATACAAATATCATGTAATCACAGACCATTAAACTACAGTACTGCTTGTTGCTGGTGGCAAAGATAATGATTCCAGATAAGCCCAAGACTCTTGGCAACTTAGAAATTTTCCAGGATACTATGTAGGTTACTTGCATAGATAAGACCAGTTTCCTTAAAATTTCCATAGAACTCCAGAGCACTCTTGTTTCTCACCCCAGAGAGTAGAGGATGTGATTTTGTAACTAGTCTTCACCATAATCTAGTCAGACACTTGAGTCCTGTTTCCAAGGTGATGAGTGTGTCCCTGGGGAAGGACAATTTTCTGCCAGCACATTTAAGTTAATTCATTCAAGTAGCTTCAAAGACAGTAACTATTTTATACCTAAGTGTTCCCTGAAATTTCACAGCAATCTTACTATTGCCTGCTCTACAACCTCAGCAGAACGCTAACATCCTGTTATCTGTTGAGGAGAAACAACATCTGACCTTGTCACCACCAGCTGGACACCTCTTCATGTCTCCCATTGTTCTGAATAAAGATACAACAATTCGATTGGAGCCTCAGACTTACCATCAAGTTCAAACAACAGCACGTGCTGCGGTTAACTGTCTACACAGAGAGAGAACTGCCTAGGTTCCATTTCCAGTTTTCCCCACAAGATAGTGAGCCAACAATTGGTCTCCCGGGTCTGTCCAAAGCAGCATATCACATCCCACAGGCTAATAATGGAAATTCAGCAAGGTGACCCAGCGCTTACATAGAGCCTGGAACAAGCTAGCTCCTAGAACACATTATCAGGGAGTATGATCTGGGCGTGGGGCCTGCAGTACTGTCTGGGAGGGAACCAAAGAAAAATGAGCCACTTTTTTTTTTTTTAAATCAGGGTTAATTCTTCTGTGACTCATGGTCATGCTCTCTTGCTGCTTTTATTGCTAATGCCTTTTTGTGGTCAGTATGTTGCTGAAAGGTGTCACCTATGGAGACAATGAATAGCGCTTGACTCCTCTCCCCTGCCACCCCTCTATTCTCTCTGCAGCTACGATTCTGAACACAAGGTGGCACAAGGCGGTGGGAGCCCTTACTAACTTGCCAGCTCCCTGCACTGCAGTCAGTGTCTGCTCCGGACATGAACTCACTGTCTGTTCCCACTGGCTGAGCTTCTTCCTGCCACAGGGACTTTGCACCTGCTGTTCCTGCCACATGGTTAATTTCTGCCTTCAGGACAGAGTATAGGATGAATACAGGGTGAATGCACAAATTGAATTAAAGCTGTAATGTTGATAATAACAGACAACTGAGGATCCCATAATGTCACTATGCTGTGAGTGACAGGCGCACCCTCAGCCCTCTGCACTTTTTGTCCAAATCTCACAGACAAGCTCCAATAAAGCCAACAGTATTCAATGGACAGCAGTAACTTTTTGTCCAACTCTCACAGACAAGCTCCAATAAAGCCAACAGTATTCAGTGGACAGCAGTAACTATGGTGACCAAGGTGGAAATTATAGCCGGAATATTTTACACTTTGAAATCTGAGAGACTGGAAAAGCGAAATCCCAAGAAAGCGACTGGTTATGAGTCACTAGGTAATTGTAGCACAGAATCAAAATGAGAAGTAAGTCTTTTGAGTTAGGCTTAGTCATTTGATAACCACTGCAAACTGCCCCTCTAGCCAGGCAGAGGCAAGTTTGTTTGGTTCTCAATCAAGCAATTTCTAGCCCAGAATAGGTAGCCAACACATACTTCACCAGTGAATCAAGTTCAATGCATTGTTTCTGAAGACCAGGGACACAGCCAAGGAGCACAACTGCACATAATATTCAAGGTATTCAAACAGTAACACGGTTGAGTGGCATTCAAATTAACCACTCAGAACTCCACGCTGTCTGATCCTTCCACCCAGAAATAGGGGCTGGAGGGATTAAAGGGAGAATTTCCCACTGTACACTGGCTGGCACATGGGCACCAACTGAGTTAATCATGAAGGACACACAAGCGCCTGGGTTCTCTGGCCACTGCTCTCTACTCCCACCTCCAGCAACTGGCCGCCTTGTCTCATCATCCTAGCACCCACTGCTGAAGGAAGAATGTGGGCCAATATCTGTCCCCTAATGCTTCAAATAAATGAGACATCAGCAGTTCAAGTCATTAAGTTTATTTTGTTTCTCCTAATATTTTTCTCTTTTCCTCTTAATCACTAAGTTTCAATTCATTTTCATCCTTTTCGTCTTTTAAAAAGATTTATTTTTATTTATTTATGCATACAAGAACTGGGGTGTAGGCTAGAGATGTGGGAGATAGGAGATTCACCAGAGACAAAGTGGGGAGAAAAACCAGTGGATCTACTGAAATACACTGCTGAGGGGAGCAGTGGGAAAAAGAGGAGAGGTCTGCTGTGGGTCACCTTCTGTGGATAGCTTGTGTTCCTTTGAGGCTTGTTTTAAAGTTTCTTACAGTGGCATTTACTCTAGAGCTAGTCTAGAGCATGGCTCTTTACTAATCTCTATTGAATTCCCCAGGTGACCAATAAAGTTTCTTTCTTTTGCTTGTCCAAATATGGACATCTATCTCCCAACCCTGTGTGAGCTCTGACAAGGTTTTAGCTTTTAGCCTTTTACTTTTTGCCTGGTCTTTTACCCTATACAATAGTTCTCTCTTCTTATTTGGTATTTCATCCCACAAGTTGTAGCTGCTTTATTTCCTTACACTTTGATCTTATCTCCTCAACTTAGTGAGGCTGCCAATGGTCTGTTTTCTGCAACATGATCTGAAAATGCCCCCAGGCAGGGAGCAAAGTCAACTGTAGCTTCAGCTGTTTTCTTTCCACTCCTCTAAAGCACATAATCCTGTGCTGTACATTGTCTGCAGTCCAATGTGTGGGAATAGCTGTTTCATACATTGGTTTCTCAGTTTTCTAGATGGTCAAAAGTGGGATGGCAAATACAACTGCAATGATTTCCTCATCATTAAGTATAAATTTATTGAAAATGCCATGCCTTGATATTTTTATTAAAATACTTTGACAGAAATAATGCTTTTGATCATAAAAAATTTAATTGGACCATACTATTCATATCATTTTCATCAAAACACTAGAAAACTGCCTACATCTAATTTTAGCCATCTCAGAATGGACAGGTAGTTCACATCCTCAATTTTGACTTCCTAGGTAAGACTTTAAAACATATATCTTGTCAGCAGCGCCTGGTGTAACTAAAGATCTTGCTGTCTATTGGTGACAGTGAACAGTGGCTGTACCACACATTTATGGAAATACCAGGAAATTTTGTGACAACAGCCAGACTCCAGAATGGCTCTGGACTATGAGGTATGTCCACAGGTTGTAGGAAACAGGTGAAGGATGCCTGATTCAACTGCATGTCACCTGGCAGACGTTGCTCCATTTAGACAGCATCTGTGAGAAGGTCAAACTTGGGCTTGGTGCACTGTATGTCATCTGTCAGCCCCCATAATGGTTCCATTTAATATTTCTAGTTGGTGGGAGAAAAAGGTCTGTCTGCTCAGCATGGTTCAAGCTCCAATGTGTTTTTTTCAAGGACACACTCCCATGACAATTATCTTGGACGTCTGAAGACTGGCATATTTCTAGAAGGCACATCTTCTATAACTTAAAATAACTGTATTGCATTATATCATTTCAAACACAAGGGCTCTGTGTTTTGCTGTTTCTGTTTTTAATGTTGATGTTTTCCTTCCTCCCTCTGTTAGGAAGACACAATAAATTCTCGGTAATATTAAAAATGGAAAATTAGGCCCTCCCTGGTGGCACAGTAGGTTAAAGCACAGCACTGAGAATCTAAAGCTGCTTCAGCATGAGTTCGATTCCCGCCTGCCCCGGAGGTGGCCACATGGCCCGGCAGACCTCTCCTGACCCGCCCGCTGCTCCCCTCAGCAGTGTACTTCATAGATCTGCCTGTTCTGCTCCCCACTCTGTCTCTGGTGAAGCCTCTCACCGTCCCTGCACCTCTGGCCTGTACCCCAGTTCTGTATGCACAAATAAATAAATCTTAAAAAAGAAAGAAAATTAAGTTCAGAATAACCCAAGTTTTTATTTATAGGAGGCAGAACAAGGAAATATTCAATAGGAACAAAGACAAAAGTTGCATGAATTGTAGAAGTGGCTTGTTATCCTTTTTTTTTTTTTTTTTTAGGTCAAGTTTCATTGGACCACAGAAGTTATACCATTACTTTCAGAAACTTTTCTCTTCCCCTAGGGAAGGGGAAAAAATAGTCACTTCTGTGGATATGGGATTATTTTATTTGAAATTCAAACACTGGCACTTGAAAAAAAAAGTATATCTTATTTTTAGAAAAAGGAGGTGTTTTGTGAATTACAAAAGGTAAAAAGGTAATTATTTTTTGAAGGAAAAATTCTAGTACAACACCTTCACCTGCTCCCTTTTCCAGTGTTACCAGCCAATTGTAGACACAGCTGTCACCCAGGTACAAATTCCTATTGCCCTTGTATCTGTCTAAGTAGAGAAGGCATCTAAGTGGTGCCTGGGAAGGAGCTGAATTGTCTGAAGCTGGGGCTTTTAAAAAAATTTAAATATTTATTTATGCATACAGAGCTGGGGTACAGGCCAGAGATGCAGGGGCGGTGAGAGGATTCACCAGAGACAGAGTGGGGAGCAGAACAGGTCGACTGAGGAAGTACACTGTTGAGGGGAGCAGCGGGCGGGTCAGGAGAGGTCTGCCACACCATGTGGGTCACCTCTGGGGCAGATGGGGATCGAACTCATGTGGAAGCGGCTTTAGCTTCTTAGTGCAGTGCTTTAACCCGCTGCACTACCGGGGAGTGCCCTGAGGCTGGGGCATTAAGGTCACTTAGTATGTCTCTCACTTACAAGGCATCATAGTTTTAGTACCAAACCTGTTGCTTGTTTCTCCTTTACACTTTGTGATTGATGACTGAGATCTCAGCATTTTTAAAGAGGCATCTCAATAGATGGAGCATTCATATTGCCTGAGATCAGCTTCCCCCAACATTCCAGAATCACCTGTGTCTGGCCTCTGGACCACATCAAAGAAATGAGACTCTAGCAGTGGTTCTCAAGTGCCAATGATTTTGTTAAAGGTCTTCGGTGGTTCTAGAGGGCAGAATTATCAGTCCTTCTCCTGGACTGATAATTCATGTGAAGTGGGAGAGCAGGGAATCACATGAACAGAACTGAATCATTTTCTTGATCATCTTCTTTTGCTCTTTTTGCCCAATTTAAATCTACCCACCCCACTGTGTCTGCATCAAATTTCCATTCCTGAGAATCATCAATCAATTCTGAAAATGAAATGCTCAAATAGGATATGCTTTACAGTCTAGGGGTTTCCAGTGATTTAATTATCTAATTACTGGAGCTGGCTGCCAAACACAAAAAAAATTCACTCAGTTTCACTACTTTATAGCACAGTTCAAAGAACATTTGAATTTCTAATTCAATTTTGTTCTTTGAGACTATTCTACAGAGTTTCATATCTCTCATAATGATAGCTCCATTATTTGGCTGGTAATCACTTTGGGGGTTGCACTTCCATTCTGGTGTATAGTACATATACAGGTATCACTTAATTATTCTAAACAGCACTTTGTCTTAAATAGACTCTGACAGAAAAGAGAGGGGCCTGGCGAAGAGCTGTCTGGGACATAGGCTATATCAGAGAGGCAGAAATAGCAGCAGCCAGGTGAGAAAACAAAGAGCTTATCTCTCCCTGTAGCAGATCTTCAGAATTGAGCATATTTCTCCCCACCCCCCACTTTATTCATTTGCCCTTTGTTAATGCAATTATATAATTTTGGATTATAATTTCACACCTTCTTAAGTGCCCCTCCTTCACTCACCTTCCACCAAAGCCCCAGTGAATGACCCTGACTTCTGAACTCAAGAGCACTGCAAGAATAGCTGTAAATTTGTGGGTCTGAGCAATTGTGGGCAATAAAGGAAATTTCGTGGTTAAAACAGCAATCCCAGACCTTGACGGAAGGACTTTTTATTTGAGAAACTACAGTTCTACCCTGAATCACCACAATTCAAAGGTTGAAGGAGTGGCGGTAAGCTGTAGGAGACGTTTCCCAGACAGCAGGAGAGTAATGCCAGCCAGTCCCAGCTGAGTTACCACCACAAACATTAATGTGGGGAGCTCAAATTTGTCACATTTCAGGGGAAGCATGAGGCATGACTTTTATGCTACCGCAGTGCCACACCTGTACCCCAAACTAACAAATGCACACTTCTGAAAGCAGGAGGGCTGCCACAAACGACAGACCTCAGAATTTTATTCTTGGAAGCATCCAACGAAGAGCGCACATTTCAAGTGGCCAGTAGGTGGCGCTACAAGGCAGGAGCATGCAAAGCACCAAATATTTGGTTTTTACTTACCAATATTTAAAAACACAGATATTTCCTATAAAACTAGTATTTGCAGAATCTCTTGAAATGCTCAAGCATCTAGAAACACTGCACTCTATTGCTACCAGGTGAAGAGCTATCTGGAACTGAGTGCTGACTGTCCTTTAGAGTAAACAACTCTCCACCTGGCCTCCTCCACCTCACCTGTTAGGTTCTCTCTGGAAAATGCGGGCATTTGACTTCCTCACCCCTCTACACACTGTAACTGGAGCCCTGTCCCTGTAGGAGCGCACCTGCTCAGGAGGCTACACCCACTGGCTGCTGAGGATGCCACACCTAAGCGTTGCTCACTGGTGGGTGGGATGCTCTGGAAGCAGGCAGGATATGCCTACTGGTTCAGTCTACGCCAACATTCCATTTTCAAAGTCCAACCTACTACCGAAGACAATGCATGAAGCAGCCACATGATTTTATAAAGAAATAGTCTATTTCCTTATTGCCCAGAACCAGGAGATATATGATTCTGCTTGCTCAGATTTATGGGACTTCTTTGCCAAGATTTCTGACATGAAAAGTCACCTTTCCTTCCCATATACTTCATACATTCCTTCACAATAGAGAAGAGGAAGGAAAATAATATGCAACATTATTTCTAATTATTTGGAATAACTTGGAAATAACATGGAATATACACGAGCCATATAAGACACAAGTGTTTTTCTCAATGCATCATCCATGACGACTTCTTTTCCTTATGGATTCTTCTCCTAGTCTAACTCATATTTCTAAATACATCACACATTTCCTTGTTAAAAAAGAACAAACACAGCTGACTGTCACACCTTTGTGCCACTTCCAGGGGAGGAGCAGGAAGCTGAAAGACCGTATCCACAGGAAGTGTTAACGGGCTGCTAGAATGCTCTACAGGACTCCTCTTTCAGCTCCACCCCCCCCCCAAAAAAAAACATGTTTAGTGGGTGCTCATGTGTGAAAGCATTCACAACTCAAACAAGAGTCTGTAGATCCACCGAGCTGCCCTGGAAGGCTGCCGAGGCCTGGCGGATGAATATGAGCGAGGAAGCCACATCTACTGGGTCCTGCGCTCCGGCAGAGTCGGCACCTAGAAAACGGCTGGTGGAAGTGCCATGGGCTAGGCATGACCATGGGCTAGGCATGACCATGGGCTAGGCATGACCATGGGCTAGGCATGACCATGGGCTCGGCGTGTGGGAGGAGGCGGAGGAGGAGGGGAGGCGCTGACCGCTGTACGGAGCACGGTTTTACCTGGAGCTGTCGCATCTGCTGGAGCTGGAGCCTGAGTTCGGCCACACTGTGCCGCATGTGGAGCAAGCTGGCGTGGACAGCGGGGGTGCCCACAGACAGGGACTGGCTGGGGGGTCCCAGGGGCTCCAGGGCGCTGAGAGTCTTCCCGCCAGAAATGTGGGGCATCCCTATGAGAACAGAGTAACAGAGTCTAAGAACGCCAGACGACGGAGTGTAAGCTGTAAGTCCCATGTGAATTAGTAACTCTAAAACTGCTCACTGCCTTCCTTAGGATACAAGTTTTTGAATTATGTGGGTTCTCTAAATGGCCAGGGTAAGGAGTTAGGTTTAATTAAAGAGTGGAACATTCCTGCAATGCTATAGTATGCAGTCTGCAGTGTTATAGTATAGTATAGTATGGTATAGTATGGTACATATAGTATGGTATGGTATATATGGTATGATATAATATGGTAAGGTATAGTATAGTATATATAGTACGGTAATGGTATAGTATGGTATATATGGTATTATATGGTATGGTATGGTATAGTATGGTATGATATAATATGGTAAGGTATAGTATAGTATATATAGTACGGTAATGGTATAGTATGGTATATATGGTATTATATGGTATGGTATGGTATAGTATGGTATATATGGTATGATATAATATGGTATGGTATAGTATAGTATGGTATAGTA